TAAACCCCCCCCAGGCAAAATGACTATTATCCAGAAAGCAAACAAGCAAATGATGTCAAGGGTGTGGAGAAAGAGAAAGCGTACTCACTCCTGGTGGGAGGGTTAGCTGCTGTGGCCACTGTGGAGGTCTGTGTGGATTTTCCTAAAAACAGCACCAACCCAGCCATTTCACTCCTGGGGATATACCCCAAAGACTCTAATTCAGCATACCACAGAAATACTTGCACATCTGCTCTCTTCACAATAGCTAAGAAATGCCATAGACAGATGAGTGTGTGAAGATCTGACACTTATACATGGCAACGTTTTAGTCAGCCAAAAAGAATAGCGAAATCTTGACATTTGCAGGAAAACGGAGGAACGGGTGGAGCTGGGGATTACAATGTTAGGTGAAGCCCCCCAGACTTGTGTTTTCTCCTCCATGAAGATCCTGGGATTTCAGGACTATATGTGTGTATATGTGTATATAAGAGTCATGAGAAAGGGGAGCTAGTCAGAAGGAGGAAGGGGGATGGAAGATAGTCATGGGAAAGTAGGATCAGCAAAAACAACAAATATGAAAAAAATGCTATGATTAAAGTATTTTTAATGACAATTAAATGTTAACTTAGGACTGAGAAGACTGAGTTCAAATCCCCAACCCCCACATAAAAGTCTGGTGTGGGCAAGAGTGCCTGCAACCCACCCACTGAGGAGTTGGAGACAGCAGGGATTTCAGGGCTTGCTGGTGAACCTGCCTAACCCAAAACAGCAAGTTCATGTTCAGTGGAAGACCCTGTCTCAAGGGAATAAGGCAGACAGTGTTAGAGCAAGACACTCCGGCATAGAATACCGTGTCCATACTCAGAGATGAGTAAACACACATATACAAACACACTCAGGAATTCATTTACACACACCATTGTGTTCGCATGAGTAAGGCAATGTCAGGGTCTCAGCCTCTCTCTGCATCTTATTTTTTGGGACCTGGAGCTTGCTGGTGGGCTAAAGTGGCAAGCCAGCAAGCTTCAGGGACCCTCCTATCTCCACAACTGTCCAGCACAGCAGTCACAGGAGGGACAGCACTGCTCAGCTTCTTACACAGGTGTTGGGGGCTAAAGCTGGGTCTTCACGCATGTGCAGCGAGCACTTTACCAACTAAGATCTTCCTCTGTGTCCAAAAAAATAACTTTCTACAGTCATAAGAAAAAAAAAAGATTGTTCTTTTAAAGGAGAGAAATCACATCATTCTAAGTGAAAATTTAAAAAAAATATGTCACTCACAGAACACACACTGTACAACAGGCAAATTCAAGAAGACAGAATAGAGAATGGTAGTTGCCAGGGTTTGCAGGAGGAGGGGTGGGGTGCTGGGGTTTAAGCGTAAGTCCAAACCTCATGTGAGACAGTACTGGAGGTAAGAGCTTTGGGGAAATGATTACATCCTGAGGGCTCTTCCCCTGTGAATGGAATCAGCGCTCCCACAAGGGCAGGGCAGTGGCTTCACAAGCAGAGACACGGGCCACCAAGCCTGACGACTTAAACCTGGCACCCAGCCCACCTGGGGGAAGGGGAAGGAGAAAACCCACTCCTGCAAGCTGTCCTTTAACCTCCAAACGCACATTGTGGCACAGGTACACACACACACACAAATACAAATGCAACAAAATACTTTTTAAAGAAAGCGGGTTGAAGGGGGCTCTGTTTGCTGTTTCATGCTGTTCCATCTCTTTAGCCATGTGAGGATACAAGACACGTTCCCTCAGGAAGACGTAGTGACGGGGTACCATCTTGGAAGCAAAGAAGCTCACAAGACACTAGGTCTACTGGCACCTTCATCTTAGGTTGCTCAACCTCCAGAACTATAAGAAATTAATTTCTGTTCTTTATGAATACCTAGGCTCTGACGTTTTATTATAGCATGAGGACATGTTTCATAGGTACAGAGTTTCACCTGAAAAGACAGCTAGATTTCAGGAGCTGGGTAGCAGTGACATACGCACAGAGTGAATATTCCTAATAAAGCTCAACTAGACACTGGCTATGTTGGCAGTGTGTCTGTGTGTGTGTGAGAGAGAGAGAGAGAGAGAGAGAGAGAGAGATCAAAATATACATGCATATATATTAAAACTTAAACTACTCTTTATCTTGGCTGCAGAGTAGTGTTTTGTCTTTTGTTTTGTTTTGTTTTGTTTCCATGCTGGAGTAGAGAAAGGAGAAGGGCCAGACTCTGAAAACCAGTTATGTAGAATTCACAGTCAGCAGTGCTGGGCCACTCTCTCTCCATCGGCAGGTGAGTTCTCTGTAGTGACTGTTTCCCACACAATGAAGATGAAACATTTCCTAAGGAGTCAGACTCCACCCCCACCCGCTGGGGGTCTGGGAGACCCTTAAATTTCTCGTGGAGGCTGGCGTGGGGAGAGGGAGATGGCAGAACAGAGTTAAAGAGCTGGCCCCTAGAGCCGGGATGGAACTGGAAACCACACATTTTCTAAACCAAAACCATCTGCCAAAAATTTGTGGGCAGTTTTGGAATGGAAGACTTTTAAGATGATGGCATTTCTGGGGCATTGTGATGGACAGACAAAACGGCATATTTAGGACCTGACCCCTCCCTCCCAAGCATGGATTTCTACTGAAATGAAGGCATGCCGAACATTTCATTCTTAGGAAACATTTTTATCTGTACTTTAAGTTGCCTGTTTCCGGGGCTGAGAAGATGGTAGCTGTGGAAACACTGGCTATGTGGGCAGATGTTTCCTCTGGCACTCAGATGCCAGGCACTATAGCTTGTGTGTGACTCCCCAGTGCAAAAGAACTGGACGTGGGGCTGAGAGGTCGACAGGACCCTGTCCTCGTGAGTGAGTGAATGGCATATTTGTGCAGAAGGTCTGGTTACTGGAAGGTGGATTTGGTGGGAACGCAAACCTCTCCCTGGCTTGCCTTTCACTCTCTTCTCAGGAGGATGCGGTGTAAAAGCCCTTTTTCCGCACCAGCTATGACCTCTGAGATTTCTCAGCTTTGGGAACCATGAGCCAAATACATCCCCATCTGCTATAAATTATTCAGGTATTCGGGCATAGCAGCGGCAAACAGACTAGGACTCCAGGGAATGCACAGGTCAAAACCAAGGCCCACGTGTAACAGCTGATAAGCCTTGGGGGGCTGGTGACAGCTCATGTTCTCAACCCACTAATTCAGTTTCTGTTGCTCTGACAAATACCATGACCAACAGCAGTTTGGGGGGGGGGTTATTTCATCTTTAGAGCTGGCAGTCCATCAAGAAAGGGTGTCGGGGGGACTTCAGCAGGAACTGAAGCAGAGGTCATGGAGGAGTGCCACTTACCACCCTGTTCCTGATGGCCACCCTGCTCCCGATGGCTTGCAGGGCCGTTTTCTTATACCGCACGCTCAGGGGTGGCATTGTCTACAATGAACTGGGCCCTCCCACATCAATCATTTAAAAAAAAAATGCTCTACAGACTTGCCTACAGACCAGTATGATGGAGACAATCCCCTACTGGTGTTCTGTCTTCCCAGATAACTCGATTATGTCAAGTGGGCAAAGCCAACAAACAAAACTGGCCAGTACAGTTAGCACCAATCCACCAATCATGTCCTCAGGTATCTGAACATCTCCACTTCAGGTGTCAGCTACTAGAGAGTAGGTGTGCTACAGAAATGGCTCCCAGGCTACGCTCTCTGGGACTCGGGAGAATTTGAATATGCAAAGTGTGTGTCCAGCACAGTCTCTCTGACCTGGTATCCTACCAGAGTCTCCATCTCACACCCCAGCTGATGGTGCAAATGCCCTTCTCCTAGGAGCCTTTGCAACACTGTTAAGCAAAACAAGCACTTCTCCCCTATACCTAAGGAGTCGCCCTTGCCTTGTATTAAAACTATTTCATAACTGTGCCTGCGCAGAAGGGCAGAGACAGGAGCTGGCTCTCTTAGACTTCTGAATTATTTTTCTGTTGTGGTCAAACACCACCACACCAGGGAAGGAAAGGGTTTATTTGGGCTTACGATTTCAGAGGGATGAGAGTCCGGCACCATCGCGGTGGGGAAGCCGGCTACAGGCAGGCTTGGAGACTGGAACAGCAAACCCAGAGCTCACATCTCAAACTGTGAGCAGGAAGGGTGAACTAGGGGTGACGAGGGTGGGCTTTAAAACTTCAAAGCTCACCCCAAGTGACACACTTTGAAGCAAGGCCACACCTCCTAAGCCTCTCCAGTGTCACTGGCTGGGGACCAAGTATCCATTTAACGGAGGCTATGGGAGACATCCCATCCAAACCACCACAGTTTCTAAACAGTTTGGGTGCCATGCTGTGCAGTGTCACGAACAAGGAGACAGGGCCTTCCTTCCCTGTCTTTACTCAATGGTGTTTCTTTTCGCTGTCTAGCATTTTGCCATTTCATCAGCCCCAAAGGAACTCCCCACTCTTGGCTTTCTGAATTCACCTCCATTACTGGCTCTCTGAATCACAACTCCCTTCCTCCCTGATTCTGCAGACTGCATTCAGGAGACCACATTCCTGAATGCAAAATGAGGTTCCCTCAGCCTCCATAAAAGTCTCTGTTTAGCCTTGACCCACACAAGGGCAGGCTCACCCTGCAAGCTGCTTCCATCACAAGAAACACGGACCAGCTATCCTGAGAACTGCAGGGGACAACCCCCCACCCCACCCCACGCAGCCTCCCAGCTAACCCGGGCAGCAAGGTGGCCCTGCCGAGCTGAGACCTAACCCCAGCAACGGCGTGGCCAGGGCCACATCTCTAGAACGTTCCCACGTCACCAAGTATACATCTCTTAGGCTGTTTCTGTGAGTGACGCGTTTAAAGCAGTTTCTAGACAGAGCAGTTAGCCACGAAATTCCATCGGGTGTACCCTAGTGCCACAGAAATAATACAGAAGATATGAGTGCCCCCTACTTTGCCCTTTATTTCTGAACTGTATTGCAGACTGCTTGAATTGACCACGATTATGAGCAACACCGCTCCTTCAGGATTCCGGGTACCTGGAGGGAGTCTCCCTTTCAGTTTCCTTGAATTACAAGTCACTGGGGTGTCATCATCTTCTGTGGAGATTGCAGAGAGTTCTAGACAGTTTGTTCTCTCAGCAAAGGCGTGGAATCTGAAACAGGAAAGGGGTCTATGTCAGGCACGTGCCTATCGAGTCTCTCAATTTACTGTCTTTGGAGCTCCAGGTTTGATTGGTTGTGTTTTCTTGGGACTGGGTCTTGCTAGGTTGCTCCATTAGTCCCAGAATTCTGGCCTCAAGAAATCCTCCTGCCTTTGTCTCCCAAATAGCTGGGGCTACAGGGGCACAGGCCTATACCCAACACCAAACCTCTTAACTTCAACCACATTCCCTGTCTTGTCAACTCCCACAGGCAAAAAGCCAGGAGAGGAGATGGCTCAGCCGGTCGTATGTTTGTCAATGGTTTGGGATTTTCAGTGGTGGTGTGGCTCCTTGTTACAGTAATTAGATCAACCAAATGCTTGAACCTTGGTCCTAGGAAAATGATAGTTTGCAGTATTTTGTCTCTAAGTCTCCACCATACCAACGCAGTTTTGATGGCTCAGGCGTCATGAGGGACCCCACTAGCAGCTATTAGCACTGACTGGCTCAGCACTGAGAGCTGCGGATACAGACAGCCTTGACTAATTTGCTCACTGCTGAGTGGCCTCAGTCAACTGTAAGTCAGCAAACACATACTTCCCCGGGTTTTGAGCTTAAGAGCTAATGAAAAGAATTCCTGTGTGGGCAAGTTTTGGGGGCCCGCCAGCTCAAAGTGTGGTCCAAAGAACCATCAGCAGTGTCGCCTGGGAGCTGGTGAGAGGATCTATGATCCCAGGTTCCGGCCCGGACCTGCTGAGTCAGAATGTGACTTTAACAAGATCCCCAGGGGATTCATGTGCACGTTAAAGCTTGCAGCTGCTGGTGTGGGGTGAGGTGATGGTTGACTCTGTCTTTATTTCTCTTTCTTTTGCCCATTTCTGTGTAGCTCGAGTTGGAACACAGGCCCTGGAGCACACTACTCAGGCACCGAGCTACATCCTCAGCCTCTAAACCGCATCCCTGAGACCCCTCATATGTAACCCAGAGAGGCGGTGATGAGACGTTCGCTTCTGACGGGCATAGGAGGTCTCAGGTGATGCGTGTCAATGCTCATTCAACTCAGGGAAACCCTGCCTTACCGTTTGGGGCGGGCAGGCGACTGAACGCATAGTGGGGGCGGCCTCGGGGCCTCCTGGGTTGTGGAAAGCCTGTCATTTTCCTAAAGAGTCTCAGGTGAGACTGGCACAGCTCTTGGTGGCAATGGACAGGACAGCCCACCTTCCTGTGGACTGTTCTATGCCTGCCTCCTGTGGATACTTTCCAGGGCGGAAATGGCCAGCTCTCTCCCTTTGATGACTGCCCGACAGGACAAAGGGGGTGTGTCTTGGGGAGGGGGAGCAATGAGGCCTGCCCCAGCAGGCCCTGAAGCCCCAGTGCCAAAGCCTTCGGTGTCTGGAACTTCCTACCCTCTTATCTCTTCTCTGGATTAGGAAAGAGAATGGGGTGGAGGTTTTCTCCAGTGAAATCAAACACCATTGAGAAAGGCAGAGCTCTGCCACAGCACAGGACCCACACCGGTCCTTCCACACAAGCACAGCCCTGGACCCTGTGGTGGGGGAGTCAGTCCAGCTGGAGAGCCGAAGGCCCAGACAGCCTTCGAGCTAAAACCAACAGAGACATGCTGTTTCCACTTGACTATTGACCACCCTCTAGCTGGGCCCGACAGCCCAGAGCACAGAGTGACAGCAGAGGATGTGGCATGTCTGAGCTCACACTCCCCGCAGAAGCACCAAGGGTTGTGGGCTAGGCTCAAGAGTGAGGGGCTGGGGCACGCAGAGGAAGGCTTCGTCTCCGACCGACCATTTTATACAAACCCACCACCCGGCACTGGATGAGCTAGAGGTCAGTAACCAAATCAGCCTGGTCACATTGTTCCCCTCCCAGGGAATGTTCCCTAGGAGAGGCAAGGACAAGCCAGAGAGGGAGCCCTGTCACTCTCTCTACCCTAGAGAAAGCAGACGAGGAGCCCCCTTTTATGTATTTGGGGGTACTCAGGATCCCAGAGTCAAAGCCTTGGTGAGTTCTAAATGTTTGAAGAGCTTCTAGGGTGGTGAGCTCAGACGCCCACAGGGCTTGCTACACATGAAAATCCTGACCCTCTTCAGACACAGGAAATCACGATTCTGGGGGCTGTGGACAAGGAGCTGCATCTCCAACTAGCTCTATCAGGCAGAACGGTGGGTGAAAATGTGTATTTCCAGCTTGCCTTTGGGGTCAATAAAAGCCAAATCCAGGCCTCAATATCACTAACAATTTCCTCTCAAAAAACCCATACATTAAAAAAAAAAAAAAAAAAAAAAAAAGTTTGGCTATTGTCAACAATTTCAGTGTGCCTACAGGACGCAGAGGACTCTCCAGTTATAGTCCTGGGCAATAATGGCTCTGGGTGTGAAAGCCTAGTTCTTGTCTCTAGGCATTAGCTGACTGGGAGGGTAGTATCTCCAGCCTTCAAGACTCCAAGACATCAGAACAGCAGAACCAGATTGACGTATGATAAAGAAAAGGGCACACAGACAGCAGAGATTGTACACAGCAACACAGGGGATAAGGGGCTAGACTGTCAGAGTGCCACCCTCTCTCAGGCCCTCTCGAGTCCATGTCGGCCTACCTGCTGATGGTCTGGGCACTCAGATCTTTGAGGAAGGCTACAGTGTTTTCTCCTCTGGCATTGAAGGACACCGTACAGACTGGATATGGGATCTCCGGAGCCCTCAGGGAAAGAAGTTCCTGGGATATCTCGGGAATGTCCCCCACCACAAAGTAGTAAATGGCTTGGATCTGCAAGACAGAGGCACCAAAGGCAATGGCTCATCGCCCCCCACCCGCGCCCCGAGACACCACAGCCTGGTACTAGACTATTCAGAAACACGTTTTCTAGTTGTTGTGAAAAGAGAAAGGACAGAAGGAATTTTGCTCGGTGTTCCGTGGTGACAGTGGGCAGCAAAGCTAGCAGGCGAGTCCTCCGAGAGGGTCTCTTGACAGTGGCCGCAGTTCTTGGTGCTGTACAAAGAAGAACACAGTTGGCAGATTTGGAAAGTAGCTGCCTCCAGGCCCACAGGTTCATAGACGGGAAAGGAAGGGTTGTGTTCAAGTCAAGAAACAAAGGAAGTTTCGGCCCAGCCAGCCACTTCGGGCAGGGAGAGAGCGTGTTATCATCCACTTCCGGGGGGGAGGGGGCAGAATTCTTACCACACCACACATTATACACACACAAACACATCCTACATACTACATACATACGCCTCCACCAACACACAGAGACACACACACAACCACGCCACACCAACACACAGTACACACACACCTTTTATGTTATCGTACATTCACTGTACCAAATACTAGACTTCTTGACGCCATTCCCATACGTCTGCCTGGTGAATCTGGTGACCTAGACTCTGTTACCCTCTCTTATCCACCCTTCTCATCCCTCGTCCTCTTCCCATTGTGGACTGAATGGGAAAGGGTCCCCCATGGGCTGAATTTTTTTTTTTTTTTTTTAGCACTCAGGTCCCCAGCAGGTGACAGTTTTGAAAAGTTCTAGAACCATTAAGAGGTAGAGCCTTGCTGGGGGAAGAAGGTCACTAGAAACAGGCTTTGCGGTCCCAGAGTTCAGTTCCGCCCCCTGCCTGCTCTCCGTTTCCTGGCTGCCATAGAGAGTGTCCACGCTCCTCCACCATGCCTTCCCCGAAGTGATGGACTGGCTCTGTAGACCAGGCTGGCCTCAAATCCACAGAGATCTGCCTGCCTCTGCCTCTGCCTCTGCCTCCCGAGCGCTGGGATTAAAGGCATGCGCCACCACCGCCCGGCTTCAGTGTCCCTTCTTAAACTGTGATCCAATATAAAGCCTTCTGAGCTTTGTGTCCCAGTGATGAGAAGAGTAATGGGCACCTCTTCCACGCCCACCTGCCCCAGTCTGAACATCTATGAGCGAAAACATGCAAGAAGGCTCTTCATGAAACTAACCTACTCCCTTTATCTTAAGCTAGGGATCCTGGGAGATGCCTACTTCACCAAAAGTGTGTTCTTGCTGTAATTCAGGGATGTGTAAAACCCACCAAAGGAGGCCAAGGAGACGTCCTCACTGGCGTCACCCTTGCTCTTCTCAGGCTTTCGCCTCTCCTGACACGAACGCATCCTGTGAATCCAGGCAAGTGACCTATCTTTGGATTCTTCACGTGTCAAAAATGAGACAGTGCAATTTACCCTTCGTGGCTTGGTTTTAAGGGGGGAAGGGCCTACACTGTACTTTACAGAAATCTCTCAAAGTATAAATCAAAGCGAGCCAGGAATATACACCATCTGAACCTGTCCCTCAAGATTGCCTTAACTGATCACTTCCACAGAGAACTCTGTATGGGCCTCAGCAAATGTGCTATGTGGGTGAGAAATGGGCATCACCATCTCCTCAGGGTCTGTAGAGTTTCTACTGTTGTGATGAAACACCATGACCAAAAAGTAAGCTGGAGAGGAAAGGGTTTATTAGGACAGGAACTCGAAAAGGGCAGGAACCTGGAGGCAGGAGCTGATGCAGAGGCCATGGAGGGTGCTGCTCACTGGCTTGCTCAGCCTGCCTTCTTACAGAACCCAGGACCATCAGACCAGGGATGGCCCCACCCACAGTGGGCTGGGCCCTCCCCCATCCATCACTAATCAAGAAAATGCCCTACAGCTGGATCTTACGGAGGCCTTTTCTCAACTGAGGCTTCCTCCTTTCAGATACCTCTAGCTAGTGTCAAGTTGACATAAGACTTGTCAACACAGAGCCCGTGACTTACTTCTGCTTTAATCTCAACTCCTTATGAGCTGAAGCTAGTCGAGAAATATCTCCCCCTTAACTTTAAACCTGGGGGGCGGGGTTGAGTCATTATGAGGAGCCTATGCCCGAAGCAGAAAGAGCACACTTGCTGTCCAAGGCAGCAACAGAAAAGGGGGTAGGTAGAAAGAGCCCCGGTAGGGAGTTACATGGCCACAGTGAGAGCCCAGACAGGAAAACTTCAGCTACCACCTCCTCCAAGGGGCACAGACAAGCCCCACCCCCTCCCATACCTCTTTCTTGACAGTCCATCAACACTAGCTCCCAGATCTTCAACCGCTAGGAAGGGAAGCCTGATGAATGTTGTAAATCTCTTCCCACCAGCCACCCAGGAGGCAGAAAAAAAAAAAATCCAAGAAACAGCATTCCATAGAGTGTTAAGTTGACTGAGCTGGGTTTTGTTGTTGTTGTTGTTGTTTTGTTTGTTTTTGTTTTCTGACAAATACATTCCAGGCTGTCCCTCTTCCTGGTGTTACATAGGCTTTGTGCCAGGTATACAAACCAGGCTCCTGATTTCTTGCACCGTTGCTCACAAACATTTTCCAGTTACATCTGTGCCCAAATTTAACATAGGAGTATCTTCTTTCAGGCATCTAAAAGGACACATGGCCCAAGACCAATCTATCCTTCCATACACACATACACTGATTTTACTCTCATAAGACACAGAGTGTGCCATTTTCTAAAGCACAGGACACATGTGTTTGCTAGAATTTTCCCTGAGATCACTCACAGGTAGAGGCTATTGGTGAAGGGCTTCTGTGGTCTGTATATGCTTTAGATTTGCTCAAGGCCACAGACTGAATGTGGTGGCCAGTCCCTGAAGGCACCTTGCTTGGTTCTTCTTCTAAAAGACCCTCCCCCCCCCCGCCCCGCCAGGCGCTCACTGAGTTGTTTGCATTTTCTAAGGTAGGAAAGAACCCAGGTGAAATAAAGGAAGAAAGCCAGGTCATCTGGAGATTGGACTCTTAACAGATGGACAGAGTCAGCAGTGATCAACAGTCAAGTCCACAAAGAAGAGCATGCTGCTGTGTGTACACACACACACACACACACACACACACACACACAGAGCCAAAGCCTGGGAAACATTCCATTTTGGATGCTTATTAAGATCCAGACACTTGGAATTTTGCAGATGTCAAAACAGACTTAAAGAGCCAAAGAACAAAGTGGTTTGTATTTGGTTCTTCTTTAATGGAAAACACGTGTTCAGCTGGCTTTTCGAGAAAAAAAAAAAATGTGTCACCGATTTCAAACCATCACCTTAATGCTGATAAACGTGGGCTGGTGGCCAATGGTGGTGTGCCAACACACACACACACACACACACCGTTATTTTGTAAAGAAAGGACTCCTGGATGCAGCTACATAAAGAGACTAAAACCTATGGAGACTCCCATCTTGCAGGATAGAGGAAGCAAGTATTCAGCATCCATATTTCGAAGGCAAGCAGACCTTCTCCTCTGGAGGAGCTGAGGCTGGCTGAGGAATCTCTCCCACTCAGAGAGATCCCTTGCCACTGAATCACTCTCTTAAGGAGTCCCATCACCAGAGTCACTCAGAGATGAGTACCCTGTGGCTGAAGGAGACCTCAGAGACAGAGCTGGTCACATGGCAGCCACAGTATGAGTGGAGACGAATGCACACATGCTCTGTCACACATGCTCTGTCTGCAACGGCGCTGCCCACAGTGGGCTGGTCCCATATCAACTAAGACAACCCTCCCCAGACACGCCCACGAGCCTGACGCCCGCCCGTGTAGACAATTCCTCACTGAGACTCTCTTCTCAGGCGGCTCCATGTTGTGTCAAGTTGACAATTAAAGCTGACATCACTCAAGGCTCATCAGCTTGGCTACACCTAACCTATCCGTCTACAAAGAGAAGGAACTGGGAAAGAGTCAGACCATGGGTGCTGGGGAAAACCTAGTTCCTTGCTCTCAGAGTTCTTTGAGGAGTGTCCCAACCTCCCTCTCTCTCTCTCTCTTTTTCTCTCTCTCTCTCTGTTTCCTATAGATGGGGATTCAATTCTCTAATCAGCAGAAAGGCAATGTGTAACAGATGTACAGCCAGGCCACACTCCTGTGCATTTTCTTCAAACTAGCTACATATGGTTCTACCCTGAGGCCCTACTAGCCCCACAGAGAAGCGTGTGGAGGCTCACGTGTGTAAGGGGGTCCCCATTTTGGTTGTTGCAACTCTGCCATCACCAAAGCCCTCGCTGAGGCCTGGAACCTACTCCTAGACCAGTGGGCTCGGGAGTGAACGGGACTGTGCTTTTTGGACTGTGCTGGTTAGTTTTGTCAACTGTCCCGGTGGAGGATCAGCTGGGAAGAACCGCTCAGTGAAGGACTGACCAGATCAGGGAGCTGGGGCTGGGGGCAGTTATCTGTGGAAGATTGTGCTGGCTGCACTGACCGATACAGGAAGACCCTGCTGAAAGGCAGGGGTACATTCCCCAGCTTTGGGTCCTAGACCGTGTAAACGAGATGAGCTGAGAGTCAAAGTAGATACATTTGCACTTTCTCTCTCTCTCTCTCTCTCTCTCTCTCTCTCTCTCTCTCTCTCTCCCCTTGAGGGCAAGTTCAGTCTGACCAGCTCCCTCAAGCTCTTCCTGCTGTGAGATCCCTACTCTGATGGCAGTAACACAACAGGGAACCAAAAGCGAAAATTAACCATTTCTCCCCAAAATTGCTTTTGACTGGGGTATGTTATCACAACGACTGGACAAGAGGAGACTGAGGAAGGTACCCTCAATGACAGTGCTAGAGTTTCCACAGGAAGCAACTAGAAGGAGGCCCAGATTAGCAGTGTGAAGACACAAGCGTGTGGACAGTTAAGCCTGACGCCACCTTGGTGACCTGGGGCAGCCATGGATACACACTTACAGTTTTGTCTTTCCCGGCCTCCAGCAGGGCATCCAGACCGCTACACTCTCTCACATACACTGGCATAAAAATCATTTTTTCAACCCAGCTGATGGCAGCAGCTATGGAGTGTTTAGTCACAGCCACGGAACGCTTCTGCCATTTTACTGGCTCTTCAGAAACCCTGAAAGGAATCACATGCAGCCGTCACTATGCATGCAGTGCCACCTCGGCACTGCCAGCCTTTAGTGTCTACCAAAAGTCACCTCCATGAGCAAAGCCGGGTGCGGTGGCGCACGCCTGTAACCCCAGCACTCGGGGAGGCAGAGACAGGTGGATTTCTGTGAGTTCAAGGACAGCCTGGTCTACAAAGTGAGTCCAGGACAGGCCAAGGCTACACAGGAGACAACCCTGTCTCAAAAAAAAAAAAAGAAAGGAAAGAAAAGAAACCAAACTGCCAGTCCTCAGAGGGTTGCTGTAAAAATGTGTGTGCTACTAGTGCTTTGGAAATACTTAACAAGGAGGGGCTGAGGAGAGGCCAGCTAGTAAAAACGCCTGCTGTGCAAGAAAGAGGGCTCAGGTGGGGCTCTTTAGCGCCCACATAAAAAGGCAGGTGGTCAGCATTCCCTGCAGTCCCCGAATGGGGAGGCGGAGACAGGAGGATCCCTTGGGCCTGCTGGCCATCCAGCCTAGCCAATCAGAGAGCTCCAGGTTCCAGGAGAGACCATCTCAAAGTGGGGAAAGAAAGTGGAGAGTGGTGAGGAATACTGCCCCACGCGCGCACACAGGGGATCGTGCCCATATCCACACACAGATACTAGGAGAAAGCACTTCATAAACAGGCAAGGCGCATGAAACTATCTTCTACCGGTATCAGATCTGTAATAACTGACAGTGTTATGGTTTACAAACTGGTAGCAACTTGTTTTAAACTGTGTTTTTGGTGGCATTGCTTTCATTGTCCTTGCAGAATCCTACCAGCTATCCTTTCCTGATCAAAAAATGGTGCTGTTTTCAGTTCGGCAGTGTTTTCAAAGCCTGAGAACATTTGTTTAAACCATTCACTTTAGAGATGACTGAAGGGTGCCCTCACCTTAAAAAAAAAGGAGCCATTTGAATTTAGTGCGTCTACCAGGTCAGCGAAATTGGCCTGGCCATTGCCAACGCTCCATCGCCCCAGGGAGGGCTGGCTCGTACTTGTGCCCCCATGGTGGGACTTCTCTGGGTAGAGAGATCTGAGTGAGTGGCAAATCTGCTGTAGTAAATAGTTCAAGAAAGCAAGGACCCTGTGCACATCAAAACTCAATTCCTTCCAGTCAAAGGTCACGTCTGAGCCAGACCACCACCCACAAAGACATCCTCTCTTCAGATAAAAGTGCATTTTTCAATTGAGAAAAACTTGGTGAGGGAATTGTCCCTCCAACCACTTATCCAGCTGCTTCTTGTCAAAGGGGTGCAGCCACTGTCGTGGCTGAGAAGTTAGCACCAAAACCCACATTCCTGTGGCTCTAAGAATCCATAAATAATCAACCATAAAACTGTAAACTACGTGAAATTCTAGAAAGGCAACCACCTGTTGTTCTGATTAAAGGGGTCTAAACTCTAGGAGAGGTCAATGTGTGTCACAAATTCAGTCTGGAAAAAAAAAAGCAGCAAAAGTTGTGGTCTTTAATCTTGTTATCCAATATACAATGAGATGCATACCTTCAATACAAACACACACACACAGATACTGTGAATATGTAATTCATAGTCTCCTATTTTGACCTGTCAGTGGATTGAAGAGAGGAAGTCTCTAAATCTCTCTTCACATGAAATCTAAAGTACCCTGAAAGAAGCAGATAAAAGCTCCCTGAGATGAATAATAAATTCATCGTTAGTTTCTGCTGAAATGGTATAATCTATGGAATTGCGATAATCCTCCTCCCTTGCCATCATCAGGCATGACCGTGTCAGCCCTGCGAGTCGGGGCAAAGCCGCACAGACCAGTGTTGCCCCTGGAAACTCACCATATGATGTTGAACTGGGAGATGAGAGCCACCTGCTCCTGCAGGACCATTTTCAGGGCCTCCTGGCACAGGTTAAGCTCTTCCTTCAGAACGCCACTGAGATCCAGCACAATGGTGATGCTCTCTTCCAAGATGACACCAAAAATCTGCCGGCTCCCGCTGGTGAGCCAGTCCAAGCGATCTTTGTAGCTCTCCACAGCATCGGTTAGATAATCCACTAACCGGCAGATGATGTCTGACTTTGCTGTCAGCTGAATGGAAATAAGAGCGAAGAAATTAGAGACAATGAGACGGCAGCAGAATGGGCGGTTGGCACAGACACCGCTGGAGGGGTGCATTGAAAAGGAGTCTGTGCAGCTGGAGAGGTGGCTCAGCGGCTAAGAGAACTACCTGCTCTTCCAGAGGTCCTGAGCTCAATTCCCGTGACCACACAGTGGCTCACAACCATCTATAATGTAGCCTGATGCCCTCTTCTGGTGTGCAGGTGTACATGCAGATAGAGCACTCATATACATAAAATACATAAATCTTTAAAAAACGAAAAAAAAGTCATTAAGAATTTGTTAAAAGGAAAGGATCTTGTAGGTGACCTTCAATGCCCACAGGACCAGGAAGAGACTTCAGCCTCTGAGAAAGATAGTGTGACCTCTTCAAACACTCAAAAAAAAAAAAAAAAGTTTTCAGGTTACATCTTATACTATACAGAATACCAGGGGCACCTTTAAGAAAATGAAAAGAGAGAGAAAACCAGCCAAGCCAGATTTTTTTTTTTTTTTTTTTTAATCTCACTGAAAACTTTTCCTGCGTAAGACTACACTGCAAACATCTCCAATTCCTTGCAAGGACAGCAGCAGCTCTGTGTTAACTCTCCCTCACAACCGGAACCATTTTTGCTCTGCCCTCTCTCTCCTGCACCAACCTGGGTCACCCAGGTACTGATAGCTGCTGTAATGATACCTTTGGGAATGCCCCCCCTCCCCAACCTAACAGAGACTTGCAGGCAACTTCTTGTTATTATGCACATCTTTCAGGCACACCTGGCACAATATACAAGGCCTTTTGGGGTGCAAAGAGATAGGCAACATGCAAGAACAAAAGAGTTGACTCCTGTACTAAGAGAGACCAAGGTTTAAAGGTAAACTCTGGTAAACTCCCCCTATCTGCAACCCTATCTACACAGCTCTTGAGTTTATTCCTCAAGGGACAGCCGGTTACTTGGCCGCATCTAGGTGCTGGGGATTGAAGCCAGGACTTTGCGCGTGCTCAACAAGTGCTTTTCCACTGAGCCACGCCCACCGGCCAAACATGGCGGCTTCTGTTGGGACCTAACCAGGTTCCGGTACCCTCGGTATGAAACTGTGTTGTGCAGCTGTTTCCTCCAAAGCTGGGGCGGTAGGGGGTTTAGGAGTGGAGCTGCAGGGATTTAGGGAGGTAGTGGAGCTGCATCCATGCAGCTTTGCTCAGCACCCGTGCTTGGTATAATGGGCTTTTCTTCTCCATGGTGGAGTTGCCATTGAGTCCCTCATGCCCCTTTGAGTAACCCCTATAAACTTCCTGGACTTGGACGGAACCCTTTCTTTGGTCCATCACGGGTGCCCTCTCTGGGGTTAAACAGATATTTAAATGTTCCCATCCCCCTAGGAAGAGTCACAGCACAGAAAGATGGCAGGGGGATGTGGCGGTGGATTCATGTGTGCAAAGGCATCTTTTCTACGACTCTGTGGTGGTTTCAGTGTGGAGCAATTAAAAACAGCTCCAGTGCACCCGACTCCGCCGTGCAGTTGTGAATGATTAAATACAGTCAGCCCTCCCCACCGACGGGGTCAACATTTTCAGATTCAACGAACCGAGGGTGGAAAATATTTAAAAATGAACTGCATGGATACTGAGTCTGAACGGGCGTTTTTATTGTTAGTATTCCCTATACAACACGATGTAAGGAGTATTCACACAACACTTGTATTGTATTGGGTATCATACATCATCTAGAGATGGCTTAAAGTGTAGAGAAGGATTCAGCAGGTTTTGTAAATACCATGCTATGCCACAACAGAACTGCGCATGCCGGATGTGGGTGTCTGGTGAGAATTGTGATGGACGTTAGCCGTCTACTGAACTACAATCTGGAATCAGCTAAAACCCAAGGAACTTGGCAACTTTTGAGATGGGAAGACCCACCCTAAATTTGGGCCACATCTTCTGGCAGCAGCCCGCAAGGAAAGACAGGGAGAAGGAAGCTTTTTTCTTTTTGCCTGCTTGCCCTCGCCCTCGAATCTCCTCTCTGGTATTGGAACTACTTCTTCAGGAGTCCAATGCAGACTGCAGAGCACTCCTAGGATTCCCCTGGGACTCCATGAGACATCGAGTGCAGCCTCATGGACTGAAAAACTGGGGGTTCTTGGCCTTCCCTTCCTGAGGTAGTCATTGTTAGACTGGCTGGAGCACAGTCTGTGAGCCACTGTAAGAAATCCCCTTTTAATAGACATATTCCTTCTTCTAGTCCTATTCCTATAGACAACCTTGACTCTCACGGGATCCTGGAAGGGCCCCGTGGATTCTAAGCGATGACATTAGAAAACAGCAGTCCTGGTACTGCCTGGATGCACCTTGACATAAGTGAACATACATTTCTGGACGGGATGAAGCATGTGTCTCATGAAGACTGTGAACTCCAGTCACAGGTCCTAGTCTGACCTGTGTGAACTCTCTGACTGTAGGGCTCTACTGCCAATGCTGCCCTGAGTCCAACATGGCTCCTGCAGGTCAGAGCAGCTTCTGTCCCCTTTTTGGGTAACTTCAGGGATTACTGTCCTAGTGCCCATTTTTCACCCTCGTTTTCAAAATAAGACAAAGTGTTAGCATGCAAATGTTTTTCTTCTGAAGGAGAGCTCATGTCTGTCAGGCTGTGGGCCTCCTTCTTAGCTGCTCAACCATGACTTCATCATTCTACCATGGCCCAAAGAACACCTAACGCTGGAGTCCCATAGCACCTGGGACCTTTGCTGTTGTTGTTTTGTTTGGGGGTAGGGAGAGCCTTGAGGTTTGGTTTGGTTTGGTTTGGTTTGGTTTTCAAGACAGGGTTTCTCTGTGTAGCCCTGGCTGTTCTAGGACTCACTCTGTAGACCAGGCTGGCCTCAAACTCACAGAGGCCTGCCTCTGCCTCCTGAGTTCGGGGATTACGGGCGTGTGACACCACCACTTAGCCCCTCGGATCTTGCTGTGATGGAAGCCTCTTTCCGTGAGGCCGCTGAGGAACTTGACTTACGTTGTATACCCGGCCGTCTTCTGCTGTGTAGAACTGTGGGAACAGGCCGTCAGCATACCGAGAAGCCACGAGCCTCTTCAGGGAAGTCACATAATCTGTATATAAAACAACCAAACGGTCTATCAGCGAAGCTTCGCACCTTTACTGTCAAACACCTTTCTCAGTAACTTGTAATGTTTTGTATTCTGTCCCAAATCACAAAGTCTTTCCAGGACCTATGACAAACATGAGTGCTTACGACATGCAGACTCTTAAAAGTTGCAAATCAGTGGAGAGAAAAAATGGGGTTCATTTTCCTGTTCTTTTATCCAGAACAATTAAGGCAAAATTCAAAATAAAATCACAACGTGAAAACTGCACTCACTGCCTGAAATTTTACCGAAGGTCTGGACTTAATTTACAGTACTTGAAAAAAAAAATTACCAGGCATGGTAACTCATTCTTATAATCCCAAGAGCTGGGAGGTGGGAGTAGGAAGGTGAGGTGTTCAAAGCCAGCCTGGGTTAAATACATAGGAGATGGTCTCAATGACCCAAAACTTGGGGCCACACACACACACGCACACATGTAAGCACACTGAACACACAGGAACGTGTACACCACAAATGCACACCACACCACACACACAGAAATAAGAATTTCAGAAGGAGACGTTGTTTCTCCAGTTAGCAAGTAATAATAATAATAATAAATAAATGTAAAATTTCAGCTTAGGTACTACCTACTGCTCATTTCGATTCCTGACTGAGTGAAGTGAAGTGAGCAAGTCATCAGCCCAGAAGACCCAACCATGACATCAGAACCTCAAGATCTGGCTGATGCCTGAGGGGGTGGGGGTGGGGTTCTGCGGAAGGCTCAGCAGCTGGATGAAACGCACACTGAGTTCTGCATCATAGGACTACTGGACTATTTGCCCAGCTGTGCAAACACCTAGGCACATGTAGCACCCTCTGTGTGTCAGGAGGGATGCCTAAAATGCATGTCTGGTCCTCCATAGCACTGCCAGGAGAGCCCAGAGGCTGGGAGAGTGGGCTGGACGGTGGGGGAAGATGAGGTAAGGCTTCTCAGAGACAGCTTTACAATGATGGGGATTTCACTAGAGCTGCTGTCCCAGACATAGCGCTCTTGCCTCTAATACTCTTCCCCTGACTGGGGAGTCTCTTCTCTCCACCTCCCCACCACCAGGATTGCACGCGTATGTGCCACTACACCTGGCTTTTTACATGGGTGCTGGGTAACGAATCGTCGAACAACCTGCTTCAGAAAGGTTAGGCTTTTTTGTCAGCTTGACACAAGCTAGGCTCATGTGAGTGAAGAAACCTCACTTGAGAAAGTGTCCCCCGAATACTGGTCCATAGGCAAGCCTGCAAGATGTTTTTCTTGATTGATATTTAATGTGAAAGAGTCCAGCCCAGTGTGTGTGTGTGTGTGTGTGTGTGTGTGTGTGTGTGTGTAGGGGCGAGGGTGCCATCCCTGGGCAGGTGGTTCTTGGATGCATAAAAAAGCTGAGCAAGCTATGAGCTTTGACATCTATATTAGCTACTTTTTAATTACTGTGACAAAAACCATGACCAAGGCAACTGTGTGTGTGGTGGGGGAGGTATTTGTGCTTATGGTTCGTGAGAATTAGTGTCCGTAGTGGCAGGGAATGGTGGCATGGCAAAATGGTGACAGGGCACATTTCAAACCACAAGAAGCAGAGAAAGCAAACTGGGGTGGCAGGAGGCTTTCAACCCCTGGTGACGTATCTCCTCCAACAGAGAGACACCTCCTGAGCCTTTCCAAACAGCACTGGGGATCAAGGGTTCAACTGCCAGAGGCCACGGGGGACATTCTCACTCAAACCACCGCAGCTCCCCCACGATAACCTGTTCCCAAGCACTAGAAGATGGAGTACACTCCACCCCCCCCAGCTGCCTTTGGTCCTGGTAGTTGTCACGGGATGGGAACCTGTAGAGGAGAACTGGCTCCAGAGTTCAGAGCACACGCTGTCTTCCTGAGGCCCTTAGCTCAGTGCCCAGCACCCACGTCAGGCGGCTGCTGGGGGCCTGCCTGTCACCTCTGGTTTCCCAGGGCAATGCACTCATGCGAGAATATACATACCCATTCAGAGACACGTGCATGCACTCACACACACACCTAATTAAAAATACCGTGTAAGGGATGCCTCAGCAAGCAGAGCGCTCCTGCTGCCAAGCCTGATGACCCGAGTTCAATCCCCAGGAGCCACGTGATAGAAGGAGAAAACTGACTTCCACAAGTTGTCCTCTGACCTCCACTCATGTGCCATGGTGCGCACACACACACACGTGCCTGAAGGAATTGAAGTCAGCTGGCCACAGAGATGCCAGCATCCCTTCATTCGCCACAACACTCTTCTCAATGGCTAAGCTACTGAGCCAGCTGTGCCCATCAGCGAACCAATGCACAGGGAAAAGGCGGGTACACACCCAGGGGAGCATTATTTAAGCATAAAGGAAAAGGAATTGTGTTGATGATGGAATTAGAGGACATCATTGGCAGTGAAATAAGCCAGGGTCTGGCTTACTTTTCTTGTATTCAGACTAATCAAGAAGTAAAAAAACACCCGAAAGCATGGAGACTCCTTTGGAAGAGGAGGAGGGGTTGTGAGAGGGCTATATGGGTGTGAATATGGTCAAAGAACATTAAATGTATAGGTGGAAGTATCACAATCCATTATTTTTATATAATTACTATATGCCAATAATATTTTTTAAGATAAAAAGGAGAAAAGAGCCACGTTCCCTTGCTGAATCTAAATATTCTTTTAAAAGATAGAATAACCAAAATTAAAGACTTGGTATATGGGTGCAGGAGCAAAACAAAGAATAAACGAGCTTGAAGACAGAGCAATAAAAATATTCAGCCTCAGCGATAGATATGAAAACAGTATGATGAATATGAACAGGGCGGGGTCTTCAGTTTGACCTCCAGCCTGGGAAATAAGAAAGACACAAGAAGTAATATTTTTTAAAAGATTAATATATATAGCATTCTGCCTGTATTTGTGCCTGCACAGCAGAAACAGGCACCAGATCTCACTATAGATGGTTGTTAGCCACCATGTAGTTGCTGGGAATTGAACTCAGGACCTCTGGAAGAGCAGCCAGCGTTCCTAACCTCTGAGCCATCTCTCCAGCCTCAGCAGTGGCATTTTTTAAGTGGTGGGCAGCTGAGGTCAGCTCAGTGGTAGGCCATTGGCATAGGCTGCAGGAACCCTGGGCTTGATACAGGAACACAGCTAAGAGGCAAATCCACGAACAAAAATCACTGAATATATGGACAACAGTAGCAATGCTCTTGACCTAAACAGTACAAATATTCTTGAACATACAAAGAACAACAAGAATTGTTTTGTATGAGGGACGTTCACCAAGATAGATGGTGAGACATGGGGCAAGGGTCAGCATATTTCTAAAGTCTTAAAGTTCACGGGTGATATTCTCTGGCCTCGACAGTGTTAAGCTGGAAAACCAACCCAAACAAGACATCTTTAAAAGCCCTGAGAGGTCTGGAAAGTAAATAACACAGTTCTGAGAAACAAATGTTTCTAAGAGAAGAGCCACATGCAAGATAGTTTTTAACTCAATAAATGGTGGGAACACTGCTAAGGATGGTGAGTTCAAGGCCAGCTGAGCCACAGAGCAAATTCCAGGTTAGCCTGGGCTCTCTGGCAAGACCTTTTCAAGAAAGTGAAAACAAGACAAAACAAAACAAAAACAAAGATTTATAAAGATGAATGAGAATTGTACATATCAGAAATAAAAGGTGATACCAATGTGGAGTCGTCAAGCAGCAGGAGGCCATGCTAGAACACCGACAGCGATGGTTTCTTAATACGTTGGGAAATCATAGGCACACTCCCCATCCATTAGTGTGTAACTAGCACCCAGCCACATGGGCTCCTGAGGGGGAATATACAAAAGGCAGAGGGCACTGGTGAGCAAAGCCTGGCATTCAGGGGGTTCAGGATCAGCCCTATAGCAGCTGCCAGAGCTAGACGTCAAATAACTACCACAAGATCCTGATGAGACGGTGAGGACTTCAGATTCAAAACTCCGCCTTGCTGGCTGCCGAACAAACATTTGTTCTGTAGACCGATTCAGAACCACCAATCGGTGAGAACTGTCCTGAGGGCATGCCTGCCCTGCCATGCTGGAGGAGGTACTTCCTGGCTCCCACACTGCCACTGGCCCCACCCGGCAGGAACTGCAGCATCCCGAAAGAACAAGTGAAAATACTCTCACACATCATCACGCTGCCTTCATGGTGAGTGGGGGTCACCCAGAGATCAGAACTAACCCTCTAGCGGCTGCATCAGGACCAGTGAGGTTGCCCATCAGGAGGCCAGGAGCGTGGCCAACCCCCTGACAACCTGAGTTGGAGCCCAGACCCCACTACGGAAAAGGAGAAAGCTAATTTCCACAAGTTGCCCTTTGACCTCCAGACATTCACATTTTAGGACTCTTGGTTGGTTGGTTGGTGGGTTGGTTGGTGGGTTGGTTGGTTGGTTTTTCAAGGTAGGGTTTCTCTGTTTAGCAGAGCCCTGGCTGTCCTGGACTCACTTTGTAGACCAGGCTGGCCTTAAACTCACAAAGATCCTCCTGCCTCTGCCTTTAATCCCAGCACTTGGGAAGCAGAGGCAGGTGAGCCTCTGTGAGTTCAAGGCCAGCCTGATTTACATAGGGAGTTCCAGACCAGCCAGGGCTTTCTAGTGAGACCCTGTCTCAAAAGAAAAAACTGGCAGTGAGGGCCTGTTATCCCTGGACCCACATGCCAAAGGAGAGAACTGATTCCCACAGGTCTCTTATGACTGCCACCCACGTGCCCCACCCCCCAGCTAAATAAATAAAATATAATAAAAATATTTTTTGGTTTGGAGGCTTTTTTGGGTTTTTGTTTTGTTTTGTTTGAGACAGGGCCTCACTATGTAACCCATGCTGGCCTGGAACTCTCTATGTAGACCAGGCTGGGCTTGAACTCAGAGAGATCTCCCTGCCTCTGCCTCCCGAGCACAGGGATTAAAGACATGCATCACCTAGGAGAGTGGCCTAGGAGGACACTACGTGCAAGTCTTATCCCCAGACACACTTACACACACAAACACCCCACCAACACCACCCAGGAGAAAAAGCCAGGCATGTCTGCACACACCTATAACCCCAGTGCTGAGGGTGGGAGAGAAGAGACCGAAAGATTGCTAGACATCGGCGGTTGCCAGCCTAGCCATTAAAGCTGTGAGCGCCAGGCTCAGTGAGAAACATACAGAAATAGAGATCGACACCCGACATCTTCCTCTGGCTTTCACGCACATGCGCGCGCACACACACACACACACACACACACACAAATGAAGAAGCACTGGGTAATTACAGTTGTGTCTCTATATGATGCTTATATACTGGGGCGGCACATGCGCAATCATCCCCCTCCCCCTCCCCCAGCAAGCAAGCATGTGCAGAGGACGGTGGTTTCCGGGGCTGGGGGAGGCTCCCTGCGGGTGGCCGGCTGTGTGTTGTGTACCTTCGCTCTGCGGGAATCCAATCTGTGCTAGGATCTGCTTCAGGGTTAGCTTATTCTTGCTCTTGAGCCCGTACAGTTGCAGCCATCTCTCAGATGAAATGAGACTCTGCTCAGACATGCCTGCCCTGCTCTTGTTTGGCCTCTCTTGTCTCTACTGCTGTTGCTCCAAGATGACGCAGGAAGGCGATCCTGATTTCTTCATCTGTAAGTCAGGGGACCGCCTGCAAGGAAAATTGTCAAGCTCATGGCTCCTGAAACACAGCCGGGTGGGGATCTCACATCAGCGCTACGACTGACTCACCGTAGCCTACAGTAAACTGTAGACTGGTGAAGCAGAATTTCATCTGCCCATTAAGATTACAGTATGGATGCAGGCTGCTGAGTGGGGTCCATTGGTTACAGATCTAGATATGTGTGCTGTGAAACATTGAAAAACATCAAGCCCTGCTGATGTCACAGTAGAAGATGTGCAATTTGGCCTTTTCTGTAGTGTTTCAGTTTTTGCATTATTCGAACATTTCTAAGATGGGATTTCCTTTCATAATTGGAGAACTCCAGGAGTCTTCCGCTTTGGAAAGCAGACACTGTCTCCCAGAAGCCGCACTGCACATCCACAGGCTAAGCATGTTCACACAGAATGCTTTGAACCCAGCAGGGATAAAGAAGGTAAAACCCCGAGGTGGACCTGACTGGGAGGTGTCGTCAGCTCGAGGATCTACCTTCCAAATGCTCTGTTTGCTGCGGCTTCACTCTAAGATTGGACTTCATCATTCTGGCTGGTGGAACCAGCTGTCCTGGGATCACCTGGACTCAAAGCAATACGGGGCATATTGAACTCATCACAAGTGGCCTCCAGATAGCCAGTGTGCACAGGACAGAGGGACTGATTAAACTGTAACACAATCTCGGCCTGCTGGCCGCAGCGGGGCAGGGCCTGGGACTGGGAGCAAGCATGGCCTCTAAGGGCGCCAACTGCATCACCAACCGGTGGCAGCGAGGAGGCTCTAATCACCGTGTGTCCAGCGTTTGGTGTCAAAGTTGTTTCCTAGGACCCCAAAGCCTTCGCAGTGATGTGAGCTCCCCTTTCCAATTTCTAAGACTTGATCTCTAGGGACTTCGGAGTGGCTCCACAGTTAGGAGTGATTGCTGCACAACATGAGAATGGGAGTTCAGATCCTAACACCCTTGTGACAAGCCCAGGGTGCCCCCTCCACACACACACACATGCTCACAGATGCACACATGTGAAAACAAGCATTTTTAAATATATAAATAAAAAATATAAATGAAAACGAAACTCAATTCTTCAAAGTCAGGGATGTTTTGAGAAAAGAAGTTTGAAACATGGCTGGCACTTAATGCCATGACAATATAGTATGTACAACAGTATAGTACAATATAGTCGGCATTCTTATAAGACCTGACGAGGTAGAGAGATGGCTCGGTGGTTACGAAAATACTCCGCTCTTCCAAATGGACCTGAGTTCGGTTCCCAGCACCCACACTGGAAGGCTCACAACTGCCTTTAACTTCAGCTCTAGGGGAATCTGGGCTTGAAGAGCACTGCCTTCATATGTGTGAACCCACACTCTGACACACCTGTTTATATGTAATTTAAGATTTTATTTAAAGTTAAAAAAATAAATCGAAAACCTTGCAAGATAGCTATGATTCTTACTCTCATTTTACTGACGGTGAAATCAAGACAGGGAGCACTAGCAGCCTGGCTCACAATCTTACAGCTGGAAGGAGGGCTAAGGACCTGGCCCAGGCCCTTCGGCTCTGGAGTCTGCATTCTGTGACTTCTGTTATGGTAGGGACAGAGCCCTGCGGCAGCTTCCGTTTGTCAAGCAGCCTTCCGGCTGAACCCTCAGTGTCCCACAAACTGCTCGTAGACACAGCAACTACACAGTGTTAACACTGGCGTGTAGCTAAGGACTCAGAGGACTGGAAACTTTAAAGATACTTCTCACAGGTTCTGTGGTAGCCCGTGAGCAAGAGGAGCGGGGTCCTAAGCCATTTCCTAGCCACTCTGTTACCATTAGAGCAGAGCATATTCTACAAAGACTCCCTGGTCCAGGCAGAGAGCACTAGCCTTGATTCCCACGCCACAGGTCCAGCAACCATGCCGTTAAAGATAACGGTGCCGTGTTGAGGCTTCTGTGAGTCTGGATCACTTCCAAAGTAAAAAGCAAACAAAAATCCTACTCTAGGAACTGACTCCGCCCCTCTGGAATAACACACCCCCATGACACCCCTACCAGAGGCTGCTGCCAAGGACAGGTGTGCCAAAGTTTGCATTGTGTGTGTGTGAGCACTTGATATTTTGAAAAGAGCTCATGTAAAAATAAAGCACCTAAAAGCTGTTATCCTGCTAACTGTTTTGTTTCATGGTACACTTTTACTCCGAGCCACTGTGTGTGTATAGGTATGGGTGTGTGTTTGTGTGTGTGTGTGTGTGTGTGTGTGTGTGTGTGCATACGGAGACCAGAGGCCAAGGCTGGTGTCTTCATAAATCACTCTCCACCATACTGTTTGAGACACTCTTTCTAGGCCTGGAGCTCACCGGTTGGCTACCCTGGCTAGCCGTGGAACAACAGGAGCCACAGGAGTTCTGTGTCCCAAGGCTGGGACTGTAGGTGTTACCACTGTTGCTGGCTTTTCACAGAGAGGCTAAGAATGGGAACTCGGACTCTTAGGCCCCAACAGCAGGAGCTCTGCCAGCTGAGCCACCTTGCCAAGCCCCTCCAAGAATATTGCTAAGTCCTAAAATCCAACTCCACGGGGCTGTGAGGTTCAGAATATGTCAGAGACCGTAGACACTGGGGCACACCAATATGCCCGAACCTGCTTCTGGAGATCTGTGCACAAAAACAGCAGCTCAAGAGCCTGCCTCTGTCGTTTTTACAGAAACAAGAGAGCTAAGAAGCATGACTTGACTGTTTTAGTAAACCCACCCAATCTTCCTCTTCCCAGAAACACGCGCACACACCTCCTCCATTAAAGGGAGTGCTTTTATACAAACTGCCCTATAATAAGATTTTCTCACAGAGGTTTACAACCTTAAAGGCTGGAAAGAAGAGCCCTGCCTTTGGTTTTTAAGCCAGAGGGAAACATTCCTTAATTTGTTTGAGTTTTCGTTAAATTTAAAAGGACACATGCTTGGGTCCTTTACAAAGCAACTGCATTCTCTAACTTTGTTACAATCCACATCCCAGCCCCTTTGGGGCTCCAATGACCTTTTTCTAAAGTTAATTTAAAAAAAAAAATTTTTTTTTTTTTTTTTGACTGGCTCTCTCAGATCTGAGAGGCTCTGTGAGTCATTGTGACTCAGACCTTTGCCCTGGGGTTTTATAGCCTGAGGACACCTGGAAAGAAAGGGGCTGGAGTGGAGCCAGACAGTATGAGGGGAACAAAAGGAGAGAAAGTGTCTCCCAGCAGAAGGGGTGAAGAGCTGTGTCAGAGCAGGGAAGCCTGTGGAGGGCTTAACCAGCACCTTCCAACAGGCCCCTGCTCTCCTCTTAATGCTGAAACTGTGCCTCCTGTGGAGACTTAACCTTCAGCACCTGTGACAAGAGTGTCTTCCTTCACTAAATCTCTAAGACTGCCCCGAGCAACCATACCTAAAAAATAATAATAATAATAATAAAATGTTTGTGTCTGTATGTCTGTCTTTTGGCCGCATGTGTGCAGGTGCCCTTGGAGAGCCTGGGGCCCTCTGAAGAACAGCATCTCTTTTTAACATAGAGCCACCTCTCTAGCCCCCAAAGCCTACTTTGCTTTGAGGCTTCATCCCTGTGGCCTCAAACACAGGTCTGTCCTCTCTGGACTAAACGGAAGTCTGATGGCCACAGGGACAGACTCCATGAATGTCGCCAGCACATCACTGCGTAACACGCACTACAGATAGTATTGAGATGAACAATCTCTCACGGCAACTGAGAGAGTCCTGATTGTCTTCAGACAAGGTCCTAGAAAAGCTGTGATTGAAAAATAGCTGTCCTTTTATACATAGACCCAGTTTTCTGGGTGTGTCCATGCTGTCTATTCAATATGATGGCTGAGGAGTTTCCTCCGGGACGGAGAAGCCCGGAAGTCTTCGAGAATGCATCCCGGGGCACACTGCTCTGCAGTGGGAGATAAATGTGTTACTGGTGGTAGGGTTTTTGTTTTGTTTTGGATTCTGGTATTTTGAGGCAGAGTCTGGCTACACAGCTCAGGCCAGCCCTGAACTTGTGGCATCCCCCTGCCGTAGCTTCCACAGTGCTGGGTTTACAGGCCTATCTATACAAACACCCTGGTTGTCCTCAGTTTTAAAACTAGGAATTGTCCAATGAGCCACAGAGTTCAGAGAGCACGGAAAGGATTTCCGTAGTAGAGGGAGGAAGAGAAAACCCGAGCTGAAGCCATGGACAGGCAAAGCTCCGGGGAAAACAGAAATTTTAAGATGTCAAGACCCAGAATCCCAACACTTAGGAGACTGAGATAGGAGGACTATGAGATTGAAGCCAGCCTGAGGCAACACACACACACACACACACACACACACACACACACACACACCCTCTGTCCCCAGGGGTTGGGGACAGAACTAGCACAAATCTAAAGCCTAACCAAAAGAACTAAGCGTGCTTCTGTGTCTGCTGCTGGGCTTCTGCCCACAGTGAGAAGCCAAGAGAGATTCCCCATGACTGCCCATGTCCTTGACGAGAGTCCGGCTTGGACTCCATTAACTGAGGTTAGACCCTTGGTAAACTTATCACCAATACCCCCAAATTTTCTTTAACTTTGCTAGTGTCTAAAAAAAGAAACCCACAGAGTGGGGGTGGGGGGTTGGGGGGTGGGGGGCAGGGTATGTTGTGGGAGTTCTGAAGTCAGACTCTCCTGGGAAGAAAGGAAGCCGGGCTGCTATTCCCTGGTGAATCCTGATTCCTCACAGCCCCCGAGCTTTCTGTCCTTAAAAGGCAACGCTAGGCTCAGATCACCGCCTCCTCCGATAAATGAGTTAAGGAGCTTGAAATGCTCTGTCCCACTGGTGAGAGAACGGACCAAGCACTGAAACTCCCAGAGTTTGTTAGGGGAGGGCAGGTCATCGCTGAGAAGAAAAGAAATGCAGAGCTCTCAGGAGGACGGAAGGGACGGCTACAGGAAGTCAAAAAGAGAAAGTCAGAAAGAGAAAGTGACGTGAACACCCGGGGGGAATTGAACCACAGGCAAGCAGAGGCTTCTCCCAGAGTGAAGGCTGCAAACAGCTTTCGCTCAAGAAGATCCACCGCCTCGGGTTCGGGTTGTCAGCTTTGATCATTGCTTCTCGGGAATAAGTTTCTAATATAGCGATCAGTGTGCTGCTCCATCCTCTGCCCACCCTTCGCCTGTGGGTGGACAAGCACGGGAGAGCTGAGTTTGTGCGGGGAGCGAGGGTGCGGAACGCTCAGAAACCCAGCCATCAAGCGAGTGCCCTTTCCCTGCACAAGGGAGGGCCAGCTCGGAAATTGCAATCCTTTTTCTTTTCTTTTCTTTTCTTTTCCCCCTCACACAGCGGGCTGGAAACCTAAAGGCCCTGGCCTGGAAGCACGGTGTCCCACACTTACTCGGTGATCTGTCAGTTGCAAGCCAGGCGGCTCGCGTTCAGCAGCGACCCTCCCACCCTCCGGGGCCTCGCTGACCAGAGCAGGTGGGCGCGGCCAGCATCCCTCGGCTAGACCAGGCTGTGGCTTCCGCTGGCGCCGGCGAAGGGTCCCCGCCCGGAGCACAGGGTTGCAGGAGTCCTGTCTCTGTTGACAACCGCAGCGCCACGGTTGCTAGGACACCGCCAATCGTGGCGTGGCTTTGGGATCCGGCCCCGCCCACCGCCGCATCCCGCAGAGGCAGGAAAGAGGAGCTGGGGGCTGCTGAGGCGAACAAGGATGGTCAGGGGCCGCAGGAAGGAGACAGGGCCTAAGACTCGGCCTCTGAGCCTGACTCTGGGAAAGGTGACAGTGGCGAATATTAAGAATTAGATTAACAAGCAGTCAGATGGGCGCAAGTGCAGGAAGCAGCTAAGGTGAAGGCAGACCGCAGGAGACTGCCGGCTGAAGGAGGTCTGTCCTCTCGCTTTCCTTCAGGCAGGTCACCCTAGCCTGTTTGTTTTGATCTCTCCTTCGGCATTATAAAGAGATCTTCTCTTCATTGCAGAGTTGAGGGAAAGAAACGTGGAGTTGGAGCAGGGCGTTACAGGTGCCGAGCTGGAAAGGGCGGTCAGATGGGGCATTCACAGTTTTGCTAGACTGCAGCTGTTGACACAAGAGCTGCCGTGACTGTGAATGAAAACTCCTGAGGGGGTGTTGAAGAGATGGCTCAGAGGTTAAGAAAACTCCTGAGGGGGACAGGGAGCTGGGTCTGCAGAGACTGACTGACCGGAATTTCGGTTCTGTGGAGGGGTTGGAATGTTGCAGGTCTAGTTGCTATTACCTTATGGTGGGCTAGTTTTAGCCCTCCAGGACAGCCGCTCCTTGTCCACCTCTGTGTCCAAGCTGAGGTGACTAACACATTAAAAAAAATCGCTTAGAATCTATTAACTTAGCAGACAAATGGCCTCCACCACCCCAAAGGCTAAGAAGATCATATCGCATCTTGAGCTCTATAGAAAAGCTTTCCTGTCTCACTGTACCTCTCTCTCTGACTGACATACAAGACATTTTCATTTGGCCTTGAGTTACAGCTTTCTTTGTTCTGTAAGACTATAAAAACTTCATGAAACTGCTTCCACACTGGAACGTGGAATTCGGGGCAAACAACATCTGTGCTGTAGGACCATGGGCCCTTAAAACGGCTCCAGAATAAACTATCTCTTGTTCCCTTTAGGATGAGAGCTGTGGTTCTTGCATGTCTACAGGTAATATTCCTGTAGGCATTATCTTCTACACTCCACTTAATGATTATTTAGTTTTGCCTTATAACCCTACAAACATCTCAAAACATGACTCTTTAAACATTGGCACCAAAAAATGTGCTTATGAAAAAAATTTTTGTGGGTCTAATGAGCTTATGGTATTCAAGAGAGTTGGGCTCCCTGGGCCCCTCCTGCTATTCTGGGGGTCCAGGATAGAAACTGTGAGGAAGATGCTCAGTGTCAGGGGCTGAGTTGGGACAGGGGCTCTTCAGCAGCCGAGGGCCTCACTCTTGCGTCCTTGCTGGGGCAGGTGGTCCAGGGCTTCTTACTTCTTGGAGGCCATGTAGGCCATGAGGTCCTCCACCCTGTTGCTGTAGCCAAATTCATTGTCATACCAGGAAATGAGCTTTACAAAGTTGTCATTGAGAGCAATGCCGGCCCTAGCATCAAAGGTGGAAGTGTGGGAGTCGCTGTTGAAGTCGCAGGAGACAACCTGGTCCTCAGTGTAGCGCAGGATGCTCTTTAGTGGGTTCTCGGATGCCTGCTTCACCACCTTCTTGATGTCATTATACTTAGCAGGTTTCTGCGGTTGGCCTGTCAGATCCACGACAGACACATTGGAGGTAGGATCATGGAAGGCCATGCCAGTGAGCTTCCTGTTCAGCTCTGGGATGACCTTGCCCACAGCCTTGGCAGCACCAGTAGATGTAGGGATGATATTTGGAAGGCCCATGGCCAACATGCCACAGCTTTCCAGAGGGGCGATCCACAGTCTTCTGGGTAGCGGTGACGGCATGGACTGTGGTCATGAGTCCTTCCACGATGCCAAAGTTGTCACGGCCAGGAGGCTAAGCAGTTGGTGGTGCAGGAAGCATTACTGACAATCTCGAGTGAGTTGTCAGACTTCTCATGGTTCACACCCATCACAAACATGGGGGCTTCAGTGGAAAGGAAAGAGATGATCACCCTTTTGGCCCCACCCTTCAAGCGGGCCCCAGCCTTCTCCATGGTGGTGAAGACACCAGTAGATCCACAATGTACTCAGCACCATAATAAAAGATTCCACAAGGAAGTAGTGCTTAGTGTTTGGACATTAAATTATGTTTTAGATTGTAAAACTCAAGAGCTGGTGAGATCATTTGTTGGGTTTCTGTAAACATACATGGGTGCTTGTTTATTTATCTGTGAGTGTGTTCTGAGGACAGCTTGTGGGAATTGGCTCTCTTCTTCTCCCATGTGGTTTCCAGGGGTCCAGGTGGAGGTGTTGAACTGACCTTCCAAGACACCTTGATGGCCCCATTTCCTGTATTTTGAGTCAAAGATATGACCCTGTCTCAGAAAAACAAAACAAAGAAAAGATAACTAACATTAGAAATAACTCTGTCTCTAACAGAGAAATCTACTGTATCCTCTGAGGTTCATTTTCTTTTCTTCATTGTTTTGTTCCCTTGGTGATTTAAAAAAAAAAAAGTATTGAAAGGTTTGATTCTTGATCACGGGTCATTCTGTAGAGCTATAAAAGTGCACACCTTTGGCTACACAAATAAGAGGTTCTATTCACACCACCAAACCCAAAATGTCAAAGCCAAACAACTTACACCAGCCGCATTTGCCAAAGCCACGATCGTCCTGCTGACCACACCCTGCCAGACCAATATTCCTGGCTCTGGCAGGTGGTAAAGAGCAGCTATTCCACCGAATTCTCCCTGTGGTCTCACCACATACTCCCACTTCACCTCCACACCTCGCTCACTCCCCTTCCTGGGACACTCCACAGTCCCTGTGGGGGACTGCGGCCTCTTAGACTTACAGGACTAGAATACACATAAAATGGAAAAAAAAAATGCTAGAGATTACTTAAACTGTAGACAGCCAAAAGTGTACAAGTTCAAGTTCATTTGGAAGTACTTTACAGCCTTGCAAATTGGCTCACTATAGGCGGGTTGTGTCACTTTTGTTTACTGAGTGATTTAGGACAGGCTATTCTTTCAACAGTGACACGCTGTTGCTCTGAACTTGTCCTATTTATTTTGAACCCACTTTTTGACAAATAACTGGCAGCCTGACATCAACCAGCAACTGACCTCTGTCATAATATCCCTACCCTGAAATAACAAAGCTGAGTTATTACCTGCTGAGTCTATCACCAAAGTCTTGATTATACTTTCAGATACATCATCCTTTTTACCTACTGCCCTCAGTCATCCAAGAGAGACTAACCCTGAGAGGTCTCCGCCTCTAAAGAAAGATGCCTTGGGCCACCCCCTTAACATGGATTGGCACACCTTGGGAATAACAACCTGTTGGGTCCTGCAAGGAAATCTTCTCCTGGAAGCCCGGGTCCCAGTGAGTGGGCTCCACCTGCCCAGTCCCAGAGCATGACTTGCCAGTCCCAAAATCTTGGCAACCACCATCTGACTGTGACAACCCTTCCATTATTATGTGACCTTTGAGCTGTTTACTTTTCAGGCTGAATGACTTTCCTTTTTCTTTATAGAAGTCTGCCCCTGACACTGCCTGGACTTATGGATCTTATCAGAATCCTTGGTAGGAAAAAGAGACTGATAAATGAAATGAAATGAAATGAAATGAAACTTCCCAAGCCTAGAAAATATTAACTTGAGGGAATTATGTGTATGTGTAAGGAAGGCTCTGAATTAAAACAGAAACTTTAGCTCTGAAAAGGAAATGGGCTTTGGAGACGCACAGCAACTACATCCAGGAGCAGTCCCTGCTGAAGAGTTCTTTCCTAGAACTCTTGGTGAAGGCGCTGTGATCATCAGAGATGGCCTTGAGAGAGGCAGCAAGGGTGAGGAAAGGGTAACCCAGACATTTGTGAAAGCACCTACTTCTCCACTTAAGAGGAGAATCCATTCTCAATAAACCCTCTGTCATAAGTTGCAAATGTCATAAGTTGAAAATACATTTCACCTACCAAACAAACCAGAAAACATGGTCTAGACAGCTCATCGATGTTACTGGATTCCTTTTAGCATGGTGGGGCAGGCAGTGAGCCGAAGCTCACACTTCTGTTGCTGTGCCAAAAGGAAAGCCCAGGAAAAGGCCCAAATTCCCAGCCCTACGTGCAGTCCCTTCTGGATGCACTTGACTTTTGCTGTACAGGAAAGCTGAAAAATCAACCGTCAAGCCGTCCTGAGTTCCAGAATACCTGTGCTGTGATGTTGCGTTCAGTGTTCGTTGTCTGGGAAGAGAATGGGTCCCTGGCTCTAGCCAGCTCCTCTCTCAAGTAGATTCACGGGCATACTCCATCCATCCTTAAGGGTTGCAATGTTCCCTTCTCCTTGAAGGAATTGGCGTCCTGAATGGTAGCTATAATCCCTTATTCCACTTAATACTGAGAAAATTTCCATGGGCAGAGGAACATAGACTAAACTGAGGCACAGGAATAAGCACATTCTTCTTTTTTATTGTTTTTCTTTTGAGACAGGATCTCAGGCTAGCCTTAGCTACACAATCTACATTAAAACAGCCTCAGATTCAAAATCCTCCCACCTCAGGTTCCAGAGGGCTAGCTACACTTCAGTCTTACATGACCTGAAGCAAGTCTGTTTCCTGTTACTTATTATTTAACACCTTCAGGGTGCTTCACTGCTTTTCAACACATCTAGAGCGTGGCCATGTCACATGACAGCAGCAGACTAAGAACTGCACAACAGTGTCTTCTATAAACACAAAACTTCCACACGTTTGACGTTTCAAAAGCATTCTTCCGAATACATCCCAATGCAACAACCTGACAAAGATCGTTACTTATGATGCGATTTTGGTTACATGGAAATGATACCTCTGACTGGCCCAAGTCTTGTTTGGCTTGGTCATCTACTTCCTGTGGTCGCCGAGAGAAGCACAC